TTGGTGGAAAAGGAGGTGCTTTCATTCCTAGTATGATTCTAAGGAGGTGTTCATCCTTAGTGGGATTCTAAGAAGGTGTTTTCATCCTTTGATTTGTTCAGAGGAGGTGTTCATCCCTAGTGGGATTCTAGGGAGGTGTTCATCCTTAGTGAGTTTCTAAGGAGGTGTTCATCCTTAGTGAGTTTCTAAGGAGGTGTTCATCCTTAGTGGGTTTCTAAGGAGGTGATTGTCTTTTTAATTAGTTTACTTTTTACTAGTTCTTCTGCTGAATTGATTATAATTTGTAAACTGAATTTGAAAGATAGTGAATGGGGAATCACTCTTGTGTTAAGAGTTGACTGGGAACTGGATGTAGGGTTGACTATACCCGAACGAGTATAAATCTATGTGTGTTCTTCTCTTTCCCTTATCTTTTTCTCTTTTCCTGATTATATTATTGTTTCCACTTTAACAAATTATTGACTCACAAATAAATTTTTAATTTGACATCTATTTTAATTTGTGCATCTATTCACCCTCCTCTAGATACCATTTGTCTAACAAATTTGACTTACTTGAATTTTTTTAAAATATTAACATATTTATACAAAATCAATTAATTAAAAAAATATTTAAATAAAAATAAAAATATATTTAAAAAATAAAATTTTATTAATGAAATTGGTTTTTAGTTAAGATATAATGATTTAATATATAAATTACAAGGGAATGAATCTTAAAATAAAAATTAAAAAATTACTCTTTTATTATTATTATTATTATTTATTTTTAGTAATTTATTAAATTAAAATAGTAATTAATCTTAATCATTAGATCTTAGAATAATTGATTATTAGATATTTATTCTTAGAATAAGTGAATCGTATCAAATTAATTTATAATACATATATATTTTTTCATAAAATAATATTTTTTTATAAAATAATATTATTTTTATTTAAAAATATTATTATTCTATAAAATTGGTCGACTCGTAAATCTATTGTCTCACCTAAGTCCATATAAGTCATAATCTAAATAGACGAATCAAAATTAGTTTGATTCAATTTAGACTAAAAATGATTATTAATTCCTACACTCCCATAATTAAATTAAATTTCAATTTACCCTTACACTTATCTTTATCTTCCATTAATGTTTATTTATGATCTTGTTCAATGACTGGTTTTTAAGTCCTATTATAACATTTTCATTTTTTTTCCTCTCTTATTCTTCCAAAAGTTAGAAGAAATAGGTAAAAATATCCAACTTATTTTTTTTATCAAATTTTTATGGAACAAATTTTATAGTTGACGTTGGAGGAGTGAGAAAACTGGATTTTGTTTTCGAAAAACATGTTCCGAAAAAGTGTTTTTATCAAACAGATTTCCAAAAAATCAATTTCAGAAAAATATATTTTTCGAAAAATATGTATGAAATTAATTTTTTGGAAATACATTGTAGAAGGTGTGTTCCACAATGCATTTCTGGAAATGTATTCTGAACTCACTAATCCATAATGTATTTCCAAAAATTAATCTTGGAAATGTATTCCTAAATGCACTTTTTAAAAATGTATTTTCAGAATTGATTTTCCATATATGCATTATAGATTCATCTTTTTATAATTGATTTCCAAAAATGCATCTCATCTTTTATAATAATATTTTCCATGATGCATTTCTAGAAATGTATTCTCAATTGGATGTCTCAAAATTCAACCTCATTTTTACAGTATTATTTTAGATCTAACAATTTTAATCTATTTTTACAATTTTAATGTAAGAATATCTAATTCATCCTTAATATTAATGATTATTTATTTTTAATTATTAAAAAAAATTAATAGAGGTGATAATACAGTAAGCTCTTAAAAAATAATATAATTATTAAAAAAGCTTAATTAAAAGTATTTCTAAAGCGGTAAAAAAAGAGAGTTCATTCTCTGTCTTAGGAGCTTTTCCCGTATTTTACTTTGTTTTAAGATGGAAATGAGTTTTAGTTGTAGTTGTTATTTTGACCTAGCTAGTTTTTTTTATCATGAATAATATTTAAAATAACCATATTAATAGCAAATATAAATATCTCAATTTCAGAATAAACTTAATCTTCAAAGTCTAGAATGAAAAACCAATTTGGTTATGAAATTGACAAACTAAATTTTATAACAAACTTTTAATAAATAATAATAATAATTCAATGTCTAAAAATTTATTTCTATTATTTCACTCTCTCTCTATATATATTCTGTTATCCTTTGCTTTCATTTCAAACAAAGGTAACTGAGGGGTACACCAAAACATGGAGTTAAGAACGTTGTTACGATAATGATGATATTTTTTGTGGCATGTCATATTTTGGTTCATCGTGAAACAAAACATTTGTTTTAGTTTTTGTGTGATTAAGATATGTTCAAATAATAAAACATTTGAGTGAGGGTGGGGTCCACTGCCTGATGCATAGATCTGAAAACGACAGTGACAAGGAGACAGACGCAATCACCTGTTTTCACCACCACACCAACTTCATCATCTTTAGCCCTCCAGCGGAATCGCACGGTCACAATTCAAAAGCATCAAATGCTACAACTTCAATTTTATAAATTTTTTTAAACTTATTTAATATACCCAACGACCCATCTTTCTCATTAAAAATTAAAATATAAATAAATAACTTTTTTCCTCTTATTTATCATTCAACACTTGACTTCATACATTTCTTTCTTTTTCTTTATCTTTTGATCCCTTCAATGCCATTCTTCCACCTTTATTAATAAAGCAGTATTAGAATATATGACCTTTGCAATAATTTTTCATGGTTTCAGAATAATAAAATAAAAAATATTTTCTTCACTCGAATTTATACTTCAGAATTAAAAATATTTTTAATTTGAAAACTAAAATATTTTTAAATAGAAAATCTAAATTAGTTCTATCCCAAATCCTTCGATTCAAAACATAATTAAAATTTTTCTTCGAAATCATGGGAGAAATAATATATATATATATATATATATATATATATATATATATATATATAATATTGAGATGCTAAATGATGAAGATAAACAAAGTTTAAAGGAAAATAATCGATACTTTCTAAAGGGTGAATTAATGCAATAATTCACAACTTATACGTACATAATACATAACATAGTATATAGTATGTATCTTTATCATGTATATTATAATAATATAGTTAGAGTTAATTTTTACATGTATTATGAGTATAATAATATGTTTGAATCAATTTTTATAAGTTTTAAAAAATTTTATTATTATAATTTTATTTATAAAAAATATTTTAATAGATTAAAAGATAAAAACATATATAAATACTATTAAATAGTGTTAATATATATATATATATATATATATATAATATTTAATTAAAATGTAAAAGTGGCAAAACTTTAGCACACACAACTCATTTTTTACTTAAAAAACTAGAAAATTATTTGAAGTTATTTCACGAAAATTGTGTATTTCAAAATGATTAGAAATTAAAGTGTGATTAAACGAATAATTAATTAGCATGATAGTTGCTTAACGTGTTAACAATATTTTATTTTGTTTTATTAATTTACGAATTTTGTCATTTATCGTAGGACGGTGCCGGTGTGGTACTGTTGTAACCTGCAAAACCATCCCAAACAAAATCCCAAATTAAAAGTCAAGCTTCATAGGGTCACTTTCGTCATTTCACTACCCATGCATTCAATTTTGTTTCTAATTTCAAAATTGGTTGGCTAAAGGAAAAAGCCCTCTAATTTTTAAACGCCACAAAAATCCCATAAATAGAATATTATAACTCCATCAAATATAATTTAAGACTAATAACATTTTAATTGGTTTAGATTTGTAATTAATTTAATTAAGATTCTAGATATAAAAGTGCAGTAAATATTAAAATAAAAAACACTTGCATGTAGTAATAATAATAATAATATTTTTTATGATCGTGTATAATTTGAAAAGCAAAGAAAAGGTGGTTGATCTTGAAAGAGCGTGTATGGTTGGGGAGTTATTTTGATTTTGTCTTGAAAGTTTCGGGGAGACGAAAGAATTACAAACATCCCTTTTGTCAGAGAGATTCTTCTCAAACTTCTCTCACTCACCAACGCACCAACCAGCTTATTCATTCACTCACTTCTTCTCCATTATCGTTATTATTACTATTCTGTTAGATCTTCTTCTTCATAAGTTGCGTTCACACCTTCATCCAGCTTCGTTTCTGAAACTCTCTCACGCGGCATGTGCTCTGCTTCTGGATCGGTAGAGAAACTTGACTAGGTGCTCTTTTCCGAGCTTCTTTTTAATCTCTTACTTTCCTTAATTGCTTTCGGAACGTCAACTCAATTGGAAAACTGGAAGGTCAATTTTTGAGTGCGGCTCGAGTTTCCGTGTTTTGCTGGCTTCTCGAGTCTAGAATTGGGAAGTAAGACGTTCCAATTTTCGGTAGTTTTGATGTTGATATTTTTTAGTTTTGTCTCTCAGCAATTCGTGATTCGGGAAATCGGAGGATCTGTTGGTGCAACTGTTGCAGCGGCAGTTTTTAGTTTTGAGTTTTTGAATTTCTGAAGTTTGAAGCATGGAGTTGATTTTCAACTTCGAAAAGATGTTTTGACTGTCAGATCGGGAAAGTTTTAGGCTCGGTTTAATTGAAGGTTTTGCTTTGTTGAATTGATAGTTTTGAGTTTTACAGGTTAGGTGTTAGGATGAGGTTGGGCGAGTGAATGACAAATTTTAAGGGATGGGCACAACACAACGCAGCAAAACACTAGAGAGTAGAATCTGTATCTTGATGAGCTATGGTCCCCTCCATTATGTTATGTATGTTTATCTGAAATAGCTATTCAATGGGGCCTTGTTAAAAAGTTTGAGAGGCACTTTTGGTTGAAAAAGGAACCCTTTTTTTATTTATTTGGAAGAAAATCTATCTACTCGTTTACCCTAACAGTTTTGAAATCTATCTTATTCTTGCTTGTGTTGTGGGTTTGTGGCAGAGCTGTTTAAAGGAAAATGTCTGTGACATCCAAGGTCCTGCCTGCACTCCACTCTACCAAATCGTTGCCTCCTGAGTTCAAGATTTCTTCTGGTCAAATCGAAAACCATGGAGATGCTAAATTGAGAAGCAGTGATGCGATCGGATCAAGTAGTCCAGAAAATGATCTTTTGATAGGGGAGGTTTCAGAGGAAGCTCTTAGCCATGCCGATGACGTGGGTCTTTATGATGAGGACGTAGCGTACAGCAGAAAAGGTGTTTCGTTAGAGGACAGACCGTCTATTGCTGATGAAGTCCTAGATACGGTTCCTCTGCCCTTCCCATCAATTTCAATGTCTTCCAGTGAACGCAGGTGGAGTGATACAACACCTTATTCTTCAAAAAAGGTACTTTTGGCTTCGGATTTCAATTTAATCTCAGATTGAATTTTTAATGTGCTTAAGGATTTCTGTGATATAATTATTCAGTTGTATAAAGAACTTGATTTTTCTCAAAGAATGTTCACGAATTGATGTATTTCTCAAAAATCATTAATTTGGATGTTTGGACGTTAAAGTTTTGTCTGGGTTTGTTGTAGGTTATCATTTACATTATACAGCTTATTATAGTTTTTTATATGACTGTTACAATTGTATTCAGGACCTTCAGAGTACTCATAATTCTATGAAATAGTTTCATCTTTCCTCTAGCATAGATATAGTGCTGTACCATAATCATTAAGAGTGTGCTTTCAAAGACGTAAGTGTTGGGTAGCGAGTTGCAAAACCTCTTACGAAAGTTTGACTTTAGTTTGTAAAAGGTTACTCAAGACTATCTAAGATGGAGACAATGGTAGGAAAGTTCATATTCTGCCAGTTTTGGTTGGGTGTCAGGTTTGGATCATGATCAAAATCAATTGCATGTTGAAAGTACAAGTTAAACAAAAGCAGGTCAAAAGGGATGAAAGATGGCGGTAGGTATTGGTCTAGGCATCTAGCAGATAACTTTGAATCCAAGAGTACCACCTTACCAGGAAACAAAAGAAATCCTAAAAACATACTAATCTACTGGAGGCAACTTCTTGTGTAGTAAAATAACTTAATAAATCCTCTAAATATTCCCCTATGAAATCACAATAAAATCATAAAATACCATTATAATAGGCCCCTAGTCGTCCTGCATCAACATGTCTCTTAGGTAAGTCAATTATTTTAAAACTATTTGACAATTTTTTTGTGCCTTTTGACTTTGAAGCTTTTTAAATATTCAATTGGATTGATGTGGATTGTGGGAGGATTTGAAAGAGCTGATGAGAAACTATTGTGTATATTTAGCTTTGGCACCAGTAATTATTTAAGAAAGCTATAGAAAGGTTGCATTAGAAAAGTCTCATTCGTTTGGAAGTTGCATCTATAAGAATATCTATTACATCCATACTTTTCGTTTGAGAGAATTCTCTTTATTCTTGTGTGTCTGTGCTAAAAAGCTCACAATGCGAGGGTAATAGCCTTAAAAGACAGTGTTTACATATATGGAATATTTATTTCCATTCCAATATCTTTGATGCAATAAATCTGGAAGCCGCTTAATGCTTAGGGGGCCATCGTGTGGTTTCATTTGTCTTCTTATATATCTTAATTTAGCGTTGTTTGTCTTGTTGAGGTTTAAACATTGAAGTAGAGACATTATTCAACCTCTTGACGTTTGTCATCTTGTCTTGGTAATGAATATTTTATGTGAATTTAAATATGTGCCGTTATTGGTTTTTTAGTCACTATTCCAGTTGGAAACAAAAGCATCTATTCCTTGTTATTTTTATTTTTATTTGTTTAATGGTTTACTGTGTATTTTGCTTTGTGGGGCAATGTAATTTTCGCTATTTTCTTATTAAAAATGTCAAAACAGTGAATGCCATGTAAACAACTCAAGACTATTATTTTTATTTTATTCGAGTTATCATCATTACTAGATAATTTAATTCTTTTTTTCTTATCCTTACTGCTGAAGTTCACTATTGCAGAAGCTTCAGTCTTGGTGTCAACTTCCAAATGGGAATTGGGAGCTGGCGAAGATAATAACAACATCTGGAAGTGAATCCATCATTTCACTGTCAGACGGGAAAGTAAGATAAATTACAATATTTCTCAAGAGTGGTACTCTTCATTTTTGGCTTTACTAACTATACTGTCTCTTCCCTACTTGCGGGCCTAATATAGGTTTTGAAAGTGAACGATGAAAGTCTAGTGCCAGCAAATCCTGATATCCTTGATGGGGTGGATGACCTCATGCAGCTTAGTTATTTAAATGAACCGTCAGTGTTGTACAATCTGCAATATAGATACAATCAAAACATGATTTATGTGAGTCATTATGTCTCTTTAATGTTTTCCTCATCAAGTTGTTTCTTGATCATAACATCTAATGTATTTATGTGTATAACCATGTACAATTTAGACAAAAGCAGGGCCTGTTTTGGTTGCTATAAATCCCTTCAAGAAAGTTCCTCTATATGGTAATGATTATATTGAAGCCTACAAGCGTAAAGCAATTGAAAGCCCTCATGTATATGCAATAACAGACACGGCCATCCGTGAAATGATACGGGGTAACTTTTTATTTCTTTATATTTACATTTATAGTTGCAACTTCAGAGTGCAAGACCACTCCCATGTGTTTTACAAAACTTGCTGACTCTTGCTCTGTTTTCCTTTCAGACGAAGTTAATCAATCTATAATTATAAGGTCAGTAGTTTTTGTTGAATTGTTATTTTTATGAGTATCTGATAAGACAAACTTTAGTTAATTTATTTTCTATAAGCTGTTTTAATTTAAACTTTTCTATATCATATATTTTAATTAGTCTTAAGTTTCACTCTTATATTTAAATTCTTAACTGAAAATTGTCATGTTTATTGCATTCTTTTCTTTTTTTGTCTGCAGTTAATTTCCGATTAATTAATTAATATTTTCATTTTTTAAAAGCTACTCTAAATCTCGGATTGGTAATTTCCCCAGGAAGTTAGTCTGGATCAAGTGAGAGTACGGAACACATAAAAAGGAAATTTCGGTTAAAATACTTCCAACAGTTTACCAGCAATCTATTAATTGTTTTAATTCCATTTTCTTACTCCTATAAATTTTGATGGAAAGTTTATCTGTCTATACATATTCATAATACTCCAGTTTCCAAGTAGAAATTCCCCAGTCCCCCCAACTGACACCAAGCGGGGTTATGTTTGTCTCTCCCGCCCCAACAGTTTGACCACGGTCTTTTATTTGAACTTGAACCCAGCCTGATTAAGATTTAAATAACCGAGTCAACTTGACTTTTTAACATAATATAATTTTATCAAGAAGGATAAAACTTAAATTAAAGTATATTTTACAATACATAATTTAAAATAAATAATATCATTATAAATAGAATATCATATTGAACAAAATATTGGTATTAAATAAAATGGTTTTATCATTAATATGCAATTTTTCTAAATGCTTCTACCTTTTTAAAATAATAAAGGAAACTATTCCAGATTGAGACCACTCGAAGCATAATCTGTATATGTCCTCAAAATGCATCTGGACTAATTTTAAAATTTGAACCTGTTAAAATTAGGCTGGGTTAGTAGTCTGAGCCAGGTCATTTTTGGCTTTGGTATGTATGAAATCTCTTCTATTTTTTTCTTCCGTGTTTCAAGTGCCGAGATACATGCATTTGGTTTTGACTTTTAAATGCCTGAGTTGCGTAATTTATTTCATATACAAGACCCACTATTTGTGTTTATTATTTAGGGTGTTTCTTCCTTCAATTCTTCTATCACTTTTCCATCTATTATTTTGTATGCAACCTTTGTATAGTGGAGTTACTTTCCAGATTTACTGGATTTCCATCCTGGGTTAACATTTTGATGGATGAAAAATGGCTTCTTCATGCTGTCTGCAGATTTTTTTCATTAATGACAAGCTCTTGGATTTCAATCTTGCATGCCCCTTGATTGCTTATTGTGTTTGAATTGGGACCTATAATAATTACATGCACCTTTTCAGTGGAGAGAGTGGAGCAGGGAAGACTGAGACAGCAAAAATAGCAATGCAGTACTTGGCTGCCCTTGGTGGTGGAAGTGGAATAGAGTATGAAATTTTGAAGACTAATCCAATATTAGAAGCCTTTGGTAATGCAAAAACATTGAGAAATGACAACTCCAGTCGTTTTGTAAGATTCCTGATCTGTGATAGAAATTCTTTAAGTTGTCATTTTTGCGAATTGTTGATAGATTCCGCTCACTTTCAGTCACAGAAACAGTTGATATATGTGAATAAATGTATTCTCGAGTATGATAATGATAATGCCAATAATGGATGAGCCTCGGAAGATAAAATCCACCTGCAACTTGAGGTTCATGCGGAAGAATGAATATACAATCCCTATCAAATTTCCCCTTATACTTCTCACCGTAATTCTCTTTCCTACATATCTAACTGACTAGCACTATCCCACATCCTTCAAATACTTTTGTCCCTTCTGCATTGGCTACACTTTCCCAAACTTAGGCCTAGGTCAATTACCTATTTGGCTCTTGATGTTTAATGCAATTAGGATATGGGTTGCTGACAGTTTCTAGTTGTGATTCTCTTTATTTTAAGCTGTGATCCCATATCCTTTTGATTCTGAATGTTCTCGTAATTTGGTTGAATGTTACAGGGAAAGCTCATTGAGATTCACTTCAGTGAAACTGGAAAAATCTCTGGTGCTAATATTCAAACATGTAGGTTTTATTCTGTTTAATAGTTGAAACCATGTATCTTTGTTCCCACCAAAAGTTTGCAACTAACCATATTGTTAAATGTTTGCATCTGTGTTGGACTTGAACTACATGATTCTCCTGGCATGACCAAAACAGTTTTGCTGGAAAAGGTAATTCTTATTCAGAGCTAATTTGTGTCATGCACCAACTCTCTCAAAGGCTTAGACTTCTTGGTGGATACACATGAATGGTTTTATATTACATTTCTAACCGTTTTAGGTTCTAGGTTGTGCTCATGTTACAGCAGTTAACACTAATTTTATTTGGTATGTGAACAGTCTAGAGTAGTCCAATGCAATGAAGGGGAAAGATCGTATCATATATTTTATCAGCTATGTGCTGGTGCACCTCCATCTCTCAGGGGTAATTACTAGTTTATAACCTACTTTTACACATCTGCTAATATGTATGTTGCATATTTTGTGGATAATTTTGAAATCTCTATATCGTCAATGGAGAAATCAATCATTCCTTCGAGATGATGCATATTGTTTCTATGAATAATGAAAATCTTCCAGTTGAATCCACAAACAATGGCAGATGTACAATGTGGCTTTTATCTTTCCAATCTCAAAACTTCGAATTTCTCTTTTTCAATTAATTTGTTTGATAAGAATCATTTTGTAATAAACTATTTTATTATCAAACCCAAACATGCACCTAGTTCCCTATTTATTGCTTAATCTTAATTCAATGACTATGCTTTATGTTTCCAATTAAAGGTTTTGATCTCTTGTTAGTTACAGGAATACTGAAACATTAACTAACAAATTAATCAAAATAATTGGAAAATCAGAACGTACCTTACAGAAGTTTGGTATACTTGTGTTTGTCTTGTCTGTAACTTATGAACAGAAATCAACAACTTCATTAGAAGTGGTAACATTACATTGGTGCAGAACAAGTTCTAGAATATTTATATTTGGGTGGCCCAACCTAGCATGCCACAAATTACAAATAGCTGAGGAAGAAGAAACATTAGTAGTTATAGGAATAGGAGAACTAGTGGTAGTATGAAACTAAGGAGTCTTGAACATGAAGGAGAAGAGGCTGCAGGAAACTTGAGAGCAAGAAAGGAATAGAGCCCATCGGTGCTAACAACGCCCTTAAGAAGAACTTGATTTGTGGCTGAGATTTAACAACATAAAAGTGAGGATAGAATTCAAAGGAAACATTATTATCACAGGCAAATTTATTGACACTAATAAGATTTTTGGTGATGGAGGGAACATGCAGTAATTTATGTAAGTAAAGAGAATTTGGAAGACAAGAGGAACCAGAACCAAGAACAGGTAAACCTTCTCCACTGCCAACATAAATATGATTAGGCCCGTCAAAGGGAGTGAAGTGCTGAATAGTTTGAGTCTCCAGTCAGATGAAAAGAAGCCCCACAATTAGGTATCAAAGAGGAGGAGCATGGTGCAGGGATTGAATTAGCAAGCATAGCACGGGGAACATTAACATGAGGTCTTGAAGGTGGATTAATCCAAGTATTTGGACTTTGGCTTAGCAGATTGAGTGATGGAAGAAGACAGAGGTTGATTGGTGGTAGGGTCATAAAGAACAAGAGAATCAGAGGGTTGAAAAGTGGTGTCACCCCGATAAAAGCATATATTGGCCATTTGATCATATTTAAGACTAATCTGACATTGGAAATTTGCATAGCGACCACCTCAACCATGGCCACAAATGTTTTTACCACCACGATTGGAGCCTACTTTAAAGGAATTGCTACGGCTAAAAGATCTAGAAGATGCAGAATTGGAAGGTGCTTGGGGATAGTGAACTGAAGGAGGAAAAAACTTTTGCTGGTGGCGGGTGGTCCAAGATTCATGAGCAAGGATGGCCTCAACTTCGATGATGGAAGATGTCTCAAATTTGCTTTTAATAACAGAAATCATAGCAGCATATTCCGGCGGAAGACCTTCAAGGATGGCATCAACATATTCATCAAGCTTGACTAGATAGCCAATTCCAGCAAAGTCATCTACAATACACTTTATTTGACCCAAGAATTCCTTCATATTTTTGTTTTCAAGAGTCTAAGTATGCAGATCGGTGTGTAATTGACGAGCACATGCCTTCATTTGAATGAAAAAAATGATCGTGAATCTGCTCCCAAGCTTGGTAAGAGTGAACAACACCAAGAATCCCATGATAAAATATTTTTGGATAATGTGGATTGAAGTCAAGAGAGTAAGAATTGTTCCTAAACTTCCCATTCTTCATATGCTGGATTGAAATTGACACTGCCAATTTCATGTTCGTCGTCTGAGAGAAATCTAGGAGGCATAATAATAGGAACGACGACAAAGTGGTGAAAGTTATGGGATTTAATAATAGGTTCAATTTGTTGCTTCCAATGAAGATAATTGGAGTCATCCAGAGTTTAGGATAGGGAATGCGAAAAAAATGGGTTAGGGGATGAGTGGGAAATAGGATTAGCCATTGTACGTTACTCTTGATACCGTATTAGATTTTGAGAAGAGAAATGAACATAGGCACACACAAAATAATAGAAGAACTGGTTTATTCATTACTTGTGAATATACAAATCAGGAGTTGTATTAAAAGAATTGTGAACTAAATTACACCAGACCCAGAATATAAAGATTGAAATAAGCAACAGTTACATACATAACCACCTAATAACTGAAACGAAAACTGCAACTTAATCTGAAAATGTACATAATATTCAACACTTAGACAAGACTAATATTGTGTATTTGACTTTCTATTTATTGGTTTGCTTGATTTATAATTCAGGGAAGCTAAACCTACAAAATGCAGAAGACTATAAATATCTTAGGCAGAGCAATTGTTATTCAATTACTGGTGTTAATGATGCAGAAGAATTCCGCACAGTCATGGTACACTATCTTCGTAGTTTAAAGATGATCTGCCTCCATTGACTCTAAAATGATTTCTTACTTCTGCTTGATTGACTGATTGATATTGCCAACTTCCAGGAAGCTCTTGATGTTGTCCACATTGGTAAAGAAGACCAGGAGAATGTATTTGCAATGCTTGCTGCAGTATTATGGTTGGGAAACATATCATTTACTGTGATTGATAATGAAAATCATGTTCAACCCGTTGAAAATGAGGGTGAGAAATTTCCAGAACCTCTACTGACAATGCCTACCTAATTGTATTATGAACATATCAACATATTAAAGAAGTGTTACTTGTCTAGGTATTATGAACATATTATTCAAACACATCAGCATATCATCATTTTATCGTACATCTCAGTTAACATCAATTCAGTGTTTCATTCTTTTATATCCCTTCCTCTCGTTATATACCTAAAATCCCACAATTTCAACAATAATGTAATTTAGGAAAATATCAATATAGACGATTACACTACCAATTTATATCTTTTTTAGTGTTTGATCTCTTCTTTTCTCTGTTTATCATCTAAATCATGTGATTTTAACACAGTATTAGAGTCTATGATCAAGAGTTTGATCCTTGTACCTGACACTTGTAGATAAAATTTGAATTTCAGCCCAGAATAAAGGCACTTTGCATTGTCCATATTTCTATCCTGAAGGGTCATGCATTTTCATCCCTTAATGGACATCTTAAGGTTTTAGGAATATTGGCCCTTCACACTGAACTGTCATTTAAAATTTGTGCATTAGTCGTAACTTGATTTCATTTACATATTGGTATTTGATATCTAATTTTGGTACATATGTTTTGAGCATGTTTTATATGCCTTAATGTGTTTGAAGTTATTCAATACCTTGTTTAAAAACAATATTTTCTCTGGCTTCTTATAGGTCTGTCCCATGTAGCGAAATTAATTGGCTGTGACATTGAAGATCTCAAGTTGACTCTATCAACTCGCAAGATGAGAGTTGGTAATGATAATATTGTCCAAAAGTTGACACTATCACAGGTAAAATAACCACCATGCTAAACTTTACATTGGTCTAAAACTATGGATGGAAAAATTGCAACTTCCTATCTTGTTTGATTTTCTTCTTGGGAATTCTATTCAGCTTTTAAACTTGAACAATTCATGCATACCTGGGGGCTTTAATCTTGTTATAATGGACCCCATTGGTTACTTCAAACACATATATCAATTTTAGGGTCTTCGTATTGCATGACTTTGTAAGATAGTGATTATTCTAGAGTCTCTCTATCAATACAATGTAGGTTCTATACCTTCAATGACTTGGAAATCTGTGTATATTTAACAAAAGAGAAAATGTCTACATTTGAGAGTCTGAATACTGAGCTACATATCATCATGATAATTTTTTCCCCAGGGGGGGTGTATATTTGTTGTCAAAACGTCTTGAAAATCATTATAGGCAACATACGTTTGATTTGTTAAGTTCATGATAACCTGAAATCATAATGAATATTTCTTTCTCAATATCTCAGATAATATATTTTTTTTGTCTTATAGGCAATTGATGCAAGAGATGCTTTGGCAAAGTCAATATATGCATGTCTGTTTGATTGGTTGGTCGAACAGATCAATAAATCACTTGCTGTTGGAAAAAGACGCACCGGAAGATCAATCAGTATTCTAGATATCTACGGCTTTGAATCTTTCAATGTATGTTTACATTAAACCATGTCTACCTCTTTCTTTATGTTTATGATTTATCTCACCATCTTCATCCTGTTTGCTTATTGAAATATTTTGTCTCTATTGATGCTATGCATTTATGCCTTCAGAGGAACAGTTTTGAGCAGTTCTGCATAAATTATGCTAATGAGAGATTACAGCAACACTTCAATCGTCATTTATTCAAGTTAGAACAGGAGGTATATATTCCATGCTTAAACAATTATTCAATGCCCTTGTACCTTAAATGAAAGAAAATATTGAATACCTCTGGAAAAATAAATATCTGGTTACACTTGTCAATTGTTTTAAGGAATATATTCAAGACGGCATTGACTGGGCTAAAGTTGAATTTGAAGACAACCAAGACTGTCTTAATCTTTTTGAGAAGGTAGAGAATATCTTAGTTCCCCCTGACTTCTTTACTGCATAATCTCTAGTGTGCTTCTTAATTGAATAATTTCAGTGGGAAATTGTTATCTAATTAGTTAAGTCTGGTAGGATATGTAGGGTTTATATACTCAGAAATTTCTGTCATTTTGTCATATCTTGTATTATCAACATATGCAGCATAAAAGAGACAACTTTGAATTTACTAAAGGAAATATATATGATTGTTTTTCATACATTGGTATAATCAGCTCTACATATTCTGAAGCTTGATTGAAAATTCCTGTATGTATAAACATGCATCGCATGTTTACATTAGATGTAGCACTTGTAGAATTACTCTTTCCTTATTTCTAGTGCTTTGATTAACTACCTTTATTACTTATCGTTGTATTCACTATTTTGTACTTATAAATACACGCGTGTACTGTTCTAGACATAGAATTACCAAAATCTAATATGGTATCAGTAGTCTGAGACATTTTTTGTGCCAAAAGAAGCCTCTTGTTTTTCCTGCTGAAATACTATAAGCACCTTCCCCATCCGGTTTCTCTTCCAACGCTTCATCCTTTCACCTGTATGAGACCCCTTGACATTGAGAGTCCTTGTTATGTCGATTACACTTTTATTTCTGGCTGTGGATATTCTCACATTCATGCTCAGAAACTAGAATTCTTGTGACTTTAACTTGACATCTGATATATTTGCAGAGGCCCCTGGGGTTGTTATCTCTGTTAGATGAAGAATCCACTTTCCCAAATGGCACAGATTTAACATTTGCTAACAAGCTTAAACAGCATTTGAATTCTAATTCATGTTTCAAAGGGGAAAGAGACCAAGCCTTTACTGTACACCATTATGCTGGGCAGGTATTATTCTGATCATGTTCTACAGGAATGAGAAACGCTAGCAACATAATCTTTGACATGCACTTGTCAAAACACCCTTTACTATATAGGTTGTGGTTGTATTCTCAACTTAATGGGTCCCACTAGAAGTTTGAAGTTAACCTATAGTAAAGAATATGCTGAAGTGGGTGTTGCTAGCATTCCTCTCAGTACATTGGTTTGAAATCTGTTGTATGTTTACGGGGGCAATCAATTTAACTTTGTGATGTAATACGCCAAGGTTTCTGGTTCATACTAAATATATTTTTGAGCTACCAAATGCATTCTTTGTCCTTAGAGTAGAGGGCTACTCATTTCTTATTACTTTTAGTTTACTCATCTGACCTGACTGTTTGATAGTTCTACTTGTTCCTCCACTCAGGTAACCTATGATACAACTGGATTTCTGGAGAAGAACAGAGACCTATTGCACTTGGATTCCATCCAACTTCTATCCTCATGCACGTGTCCTCTTCCACAAATATTTGCATCACATATGCTCACTCAATCTGATAAACCGGTAGTTGGTCCCTTGCACAAGTCAGGTGGTGCAGATTCCCAAAAGCTAAGTGTTGCAACAAAATTCAAGGTACATCAGCTTAATTATAAAGTGATCCATAACTTCATTTATCATTGAAGGATCTAATTGATGTGTGACATCCAAGTATATGGGATTACAGCGTGTAATTTATCTCATTCACGTGAGGATTGTAACTCAAGAACCTGAGTTCAAAATCAGAAGTGCTGAGTATCCACTGAGTGAGAAACTAAAATTACCAATGAGAAAATTCGCAAAAAAAAAAAAGAATTTCAGAAAACAAGGTAAAATTCACTGTTTAGGGGTAGTTAGGGTCCAATTCATCTCAATATAGAATGCAGATACAAATATTGTAATTTTGTTGGACGAAAAATGAAAGTGGGTGGAGAATAGAATAAAAATTCAAGTGGATTAAAGCATGTATTATTTGAAAGGTAGATGAATAGTCTTTCCTCACTACTTCCCACTACTAAAATCTACTTAAATATTCATTTTCATAGGTAGTGATATCTATCGCACTTTATTTGATATTAAAATGATTTCCTCTGTTGGCGTCCAGGGTCAATTGTTCCTACTGATGCAACGACTAGAAAGCACTACTCCACATTTTATTCGCTGCATTAAACCCAATAATCTCCAATCACCTGAATCATATGAGCAAGGGCTCGTATTGCAACAGCTGAGATGCTGTGGGGTCCTGGAAGTAGTTCGAATATCAAGATCAGGTTTTCCAACAAGAATGTCTCACCATAAGTTTGCCAGAAGGTATAACAGAGAAACTGATGATTTAGTTGAATCAGATATGGTTTTGCATGTGCCTAACCTTGTTCTTATTGGGTGCATTGAGTCAGATATGGTTTTCTCCTCCTTGATAATGTTGCATCTCAGGATCCACTTAGTGTTTCCGTTGCAATTCTTCATCAGTTTAATATTTTGCCTGAGATGTATCAAGTTGGCTACACGAAATTATTTTTCCGAACAGGGCAGGTAAGATATGCTCTTCTTTTTTTAAAATTTTATACAATTTTTTTTCTTAGATCCCCCAAAAATCAAATAACACCATGTACTTTTTAAACAAGGAAATGTTGAGCTTTTGTGATTTGGGATTAGGATGAATTAGAATTTCTAGTTTATGGTTTTATTTATATCCGCTATTGCTTTCCTTTATGAAAGTTGTTGGAGCATAATTTATTTTCAACATATTCCAATTTCTGATGCTTGATGGCACTGCAGATCGGTGCGCTTGAAGATACTAGAAATCGTACCCTCCATGGCATTTTACGTGTACAAAGTTGTTTTAGGGGTCACCAAGCTCGTCGTTCTCTCAAAAAGCTTCAGGGAGGAATCACTACTTTGCAGTCATGTATATTATTTTTCACTCCCTTAGTCTTTCAATCATATGTGTCTTGTGTATAACTTAATGAACACGTCTTGCCTATTCATGCAGTTATTAGGGGAGAAAAAACCAGAAAGGCATATTCAGCTTCACTAAAGAGGCATAGAGCTGCTGTTATTATACAGAAGCGCGTGAAAGCAGTATTTGCAAGAAACAGAATAAAGACTATTAGTGATGCGGCAGTAGTCCTACAAGCAGGTAAGATATTATACATGATAAATTCTAAGATATACCAATTTTTGTTGTATGGAATATGGATAATATTCAAATTAGGGCTTTTAAAGACTGAACACCATGTTTTTACATAGATAGATAAGTAATGAAGCCCAAGATAATTTACCATAAGAATGCTATGTTTTGTTGGAACGTGGACACCTGTCTTTTCAATTGCGAGCTGTCAATAAATTTTCACAATTTTATTTCACTTACCTTTTGCAGTTATTCGGGGTTGGTTGGTCAGAAGATGCTCAGGAAATATTGGATTTTTGAAGTCTGGAGACATGAAGGTATTTTATTTCCCATAGTTTAGAAACTAAATATCTTGATTCTTATCTTTTATACAAGTTCTTGTACCACTTGTAAACGCACCATCTTTGTGATTCTTACAATCATGAACTCCAAAACAGATGCAAGAGTCAGATGAGGTTCTGGTTAAGTCAACTTTCCTGGCCGAATTACAGCGCCGAGTACTTAAGGCTGAAGCTTCCTTGAGAGAGAAAGAAGAGGAAAATGACATAGTTCGTCAACGTCTCCAACAATATGAGAGCAGATGGTCTGAATATGAATTAAAGATGAAATCCATGGAAGAAGTGTGGCAGAAACAAATGAGATCCCTACAATCTAGCCTCTCCATTGCAAAGAAAAGCCTTGCTGTTGATGACTCTGAAAGAAATTCAGATGCATCTGTTAATGTAAGTGATGAGAGAGATTACAGTTGGGATGTAGGAGGTAATCACAGACGCCAAGAGAGCAATGGGGCAAGATCAACTAGTGCTGGTTTAAGTGTAATTAGCCGGCTAGCGGAAGAATTCGAGCATCGTAGTCAAGTATTTGGTGATGATGCCAAGTTCTTGGTTGAGGTAAAATCTGGTCAGGTAGAAGCAAGTTTGAACCCAGATCAAGAGCTTAGGAGGTTAAAACAAATGTTTGAAGCTTGGAAAAAGGATTATGGGGCAAGACTGCGTGAAACAAAAGTCATTTTAAATAAACTTGGAAATGAAGATGGCGCACTTGAGAGAATGAAGAAAAAGTGGTGGGGAAGAAGGAACAGTACACGGATAAATTGAGTTTTTTCTTCTTTTTTTTTTTCTTAGAAGTTTTAATTTATCTTTGATTATATTTTTTAAAGGTTCGGCTTTGGTCTTTGCGCTTTTTCAAGTGCATTGCCAACTATATATCCCAAAAGTGAGGAAAATACAATAGGAAAGGTTAAAAAAAAAATAGGAGTGTTAGGATGAATGAATTTAGTGTAAGTTGGGTTACTAAGATCTGCATGAGTTGTTAAGTAAAATGTATACCACAAACCTTAGTGATTCGTGTATATGGCTGATGCCCATGCCTTTTCCGGTGTGTGGAGGCCCGACATGTATACGGTACGCAAGCAGTCTGTTGGCCGTGCAAAAGTCATAAAATTTGATATTCTTTGTGTAATTTTGTTAATGCAAAGAGAATAGATAATGTTTGGGAATTACCTCATAAACGTCCATATCATCCATATTTCTTTGCGCACTTACCTATTATACTATTATAGTGAAAATGACGGAACTGATCTTTTAAAATTGTTATATTTTCTGAAAATACTTTTTAAAATATATTAAAAAAGTTTCTGATTACATAGCATTCTAGAAAAATATATTTTAGAATGAATTCTAAAAAGCACAATTCATAACTGATTTGTCTGTTTTTCATAATTTTATGTGTTTTGGATCGAAGATCTCGACAAACTGATAGTTCCTGTGACTTTTTGTTCTATTATATAATTTTAATGATATTCTTGGGTTGATCATGAAGATTTTGCCGTTGTACTGCTCAAGTTCATTCTTTAGAGTGTGTATCAATTTACATTTCTGCGCAGAACATATTAAAATGGCTAAAAAGTCTAGATTAGTTTGATCTTCAATGGGATCTTCAATACTGTTAGTTTCTGTATTTAATCATGTGACATGCATTATTAGTTTCTTGCAATGTAGTTTGAGTAGTTGTGTGTTACGTTCAGTCTACATTTGATTCCAAAGTAACACATTTGTCTATAAATTTCATTTTCCTCGGGTCTCTCGATTTACTTGTGTTTTGGGTCTCACAGGAAAGTCAAGTATTGGAAGCAGTGGCTATATTTTTTCATGATTTGTTGATCTCTAGCCTAGATTCTGAATTCTTGGATTTTTTAACTTTTTCATTGGTCTAGAATGAGCGTTTATCGATTTACTTCTCCATGATTTCTGTTTTGGGTCTCATTGGAAAACAAGTAGTGGAAATATGGTCCTTTTTTTAATTATGGTTAAGGGTAATTTGGAGGTGTAAAATTTCCTCGTTGTTTCTGTAATCCATGTAGGATCTGGAGGATCTGGAGAAGATTTTGATCTCTGTACTAATCAATGGAAAAGTTTGCAGAGAAGAGGTATGAACAACCAGAGAAGATTGGGAGAGCCAGCAGCCACATTTGTTGCAAATATGCAATACCTGAATTAAGAAAAAATGTAAATGGCCCACATGAATTAGACCACTAAATAATCACAAAAGAGAAATTTTTTTAACAATTTTTATCAAATAATTCCCAAAATGCAAATGGTCCACCTGAATTTGACTTCATGGGCCATGGTTACTCTATTTTTCTTTTCCAAAAAGTTAATTTCGTAGGAAAAAAATCATTTAAAATTAACCCAAATCAGCACTAAACATGAGATAGCAAGTGGAAGAAGGGTTTGTGGGGAAGTTGTTAAGTGGGATAGAAAAGCCAAAAATAATTTTATATAAGCTAATTCGGATTTTAGCTATACATTTGATATTGAGAATCAAATTTTGTGAAAACAATATCCAGAGAAGCCAAATCTATGTCAAAACCATAGCTCTGTCCTCCATACTGCACATACAGATGTTCTTTGGGTGACATGGGAAGTGGGAGAATTTGAGAGATTTGCGGTAACTCTGGCGCGGGTGGAGACAAATTTTGTGAATTCTTTTTAGTGTAATATATGTCAGCTAAGAGAAGCCACACAAGATCAGGATCAATAGATGCAAGTCCATGGAGGGCCTTCAGAGAAGCATCTCGAAGTCCAGCAACACTGCTACAGGCTATCCCCACAACTAGACCACTAACCTTCTTCAAAACAAGTTCTAATGCAGAGGAACTGCTCTTTTTACGGCATAAATCAGCAATCATGTTGAGCACTGCAATCTGAACCTTGAGATAGGATGTCTCAGCCAATGAATCCTCTGAACTCATGGAACTGCTTCTATAAGGTAGTTGCAAAGGGGTTTTCTCATCTTTGAAATATGACTTCTTATGAAATGGGGATGTGGTCAGAAGTTTCCAAAAGTGTGTCCCATCAGTGCAGAATCGTCGTGTGAAGAAATCTCCTCCACAAACTGGCACTACATTGCTGATCACGCTCAAACATCTCCGCACAGCCTGTCATCGCCAGTTACATCCAAAATATATCTCAAAACAAAATCAACCATAACTCTTTATTTATATCCAATCCTAAAGTAAGAAATGACCATCAATGAGGGATTACTCACCACTGGGTTCCTGTTCTGAATACAAGTGACCAGGAAAGGCCATATTTTATTCATTGCCGGAAGTAACCTGTTTTCATCAGCCCCTTCTTCATTAGCTTCCAAAGTGTCCTTCAGCTGATACAGTGATAGTGATTCAAGCGCTTCTTGGATTGATTCTTTTATTTCTCTTTCATATTTATAAGCTGCTTCAACTTTTGCTACTGCCAAAATACCACTCTGAAACCAGAAATTGTAAAAAATACCGATGAGAAAAATACAAAATAAATCTATTGTTTAAAATGATTTTGGATTCATACTCAAACTAGAGGACAAAATTTAAACAATGGATATCATTATTTATTTATCAAAGGAAATAATGACTGACAAGACAAGCACTTCCCAAACTCCTGCCATTTTGAGTCAACTTCTGCAATATAGGAACTCCATACAATTTTGTTTTTATAGAAAAATAACCATTCAGGCCCTACAAGGATTTTCTTTCGGTTAAGATAATAATTCATTACTGACTGAGATTGCTTAAGAAAACCAGAATACAAACGTCAGTACAATAAAGCACTCAAATATCCCCTAAATATATGTGAATGTGACAAATAAAAAAGAGATGAATTATGTGAAACAGGTTTTAAAAGTTAATCCAACCTGCAAAATAATTCTACCATTAAATCCAATTTCTAATTCAAAACAAAAAAAAAATGAAACAGTGAAATTAAAGTTCTCCTTTACTGCTGTCCAATTTAAAAGCTTTTTGGGCTTTTCAGGCGAACAAGCACATATACTTTCACACAACAAACAGGGAGGCAGGGCAGGGGCCCTTATTGTAACATAGACCTTTCAAAAAGAAGTTTAAATTTTAACTGTTTCTTTTAACTCTCACCCAGGATATTTTCTTTCAGAGTATACCTAATTTGAAAATAAAAGATTAACTCATTTACATCAAAGCAATCTCAGTCTAAAGCAATTCTCTATTTTCAACAGCTTAGTTTGAGCTCTGGTTAATCCCTTCAAAAATGAGATTTAAAAGTTGATTTTTAGAGAAATGCCTGAATTTAATTTTTCCAAATCCACCCCCTATTTCTTCAAGACCTTATTTTCTTCATTGTCTATGAATCTGAACTTCAGACCTTTCTTCTCCTTTTATTTATAAATTTACACAGTTTAATCAAATTGGCCGCATCGACAGCGTCCTGCGATTCATGAAAAATCATGCCAAACTGCCTGAAGAAACCCATACAGATGATGAATATATGCTTCTCATACTTGTATCAATGGCTAAAATGTTGAAGTGTAAAGCATTTCAACCTAAAGATACCTCAATTATATCCAAGGCACCTAAGCATATCTCTTGCTTGATTGATGCTAGAAGTGGGATTGCAGCAGTAATACATGAACCAGTAATAGAACCAACTGTTCGTCTATGTCTTCTGGAATCATTTAACTTGAATAAAATGTCCTCCCACTGATCTACAAGCATAACACTTAAGTTAATAATAATTGACAAGCCACCATTACCACAAGCTAGCAGGTATCACATAATCAAGTTGATGCAGAAGCACCAATATAAGTCCTATTATAGTGTTGTATAGCAACCCGATCAACAAAATTAACAGTATTAGTAATAAAATTATGGGTGTGAACCCAATAAAGTCTTAGGAGACCTAGCACTTGACAGGCATCGTAATAACATGAACATATAAATGATTGATAACCTGTGTAAAATCAAGGTAAGAGTAATTCATATCATCTAATTATTACTTATAAATTACTATCACTCTAACATTATACTATTATAAACTAAAGTCACAAGACTTAAAAAGATACTTGTTTGTTGGTCATCCATTATGGCTAAGAGTTCATGTTAGTTTCATTGATTTTGAAGATCCCAGCATGTTTGGGAAAGTAAAAACTTACGGATCCTAATATAGTAACACAAAAAAAATGTTCTGTTAATTAACAGATCAGCAATAGACCAAATATTATCAGTCATTCATAGATTATAAAATTAGTAATTTTAGAAAGAAAGAAATTTTAGAAAACTAGATACCTTTGATATATGAAGGACTAGTAGCTTTTTCTCCCTTACACATGTATGGGCTTAACAGGACCTAGTTTTGTCGAGTTTTCCTTAATTAGTAATTTTATCATTTTATACATGTCCAGTCGTTTGTTACTCGCTTGCTTTGATTTTTCTATCAGCTAACAACTAATAGCAATAAAATATCACTGCTTGAAATCCATGTATGATCACTAGTCCCATGTTTGAAAGTCCCATATTTCTCAGAAATATGAAGGATGACAGTGAAGGTAGATGAGAATGGCAGACCAAAGATGCCTTGAGCAAATTTCTCAGATAAAATGTCAATTAGAACATGCGGGAAGCACATCAAGATGGTAGCTGGTGTACGCTCGTTTAGGGAGGTAACTCGGAATTCCAATCTATGAAACATGTTGAAAGAGAAAACTTGTTGCATTGACATTAAATTTGGATTTTTCTCATAAATATCTTAATAACATTATAAATATAGGCTTTGCTTGGAACTCACAATGTAGGTCTTATGAAAGAAGCTTTCATGATTGTAACAGGTAAGGCCACTAATAATTTTTGTGATGGAACTTCCAATATCTAGAATTTACTACAAGATCTCTTATTGTCAAGAGATGAATTTTCTAATATCTAAAAATTCAATGCGAAAGTAGATATCTATGTACAGCCAAAGGAGTGCAATCTGCACTGCATCTAACCTAATATCATGCTTATCATTAGTCACATTGCGAAGTAAGAAGCACATCACTCAGGTAATGAATGTGCTGCATGACATATCCATTCACCCTGTTAGAATAGTTTCTTCTGCGCAACTTAGTCAAAGTTGTTGTGTGGTACCTATTTGTTATCTAGAGTCCTCGGGATAAACTTTATTTTGTTTCCTTCCCTCTCTTTGTGACTTTGTTGCAAGATACAATTCTCTCTCTCTCCATGCGTGTGTGTTTATTATATATATATATATATATATATATATATATATATATATATATATATATATATATATATATATAAATCTGAAGAGACGGGAGATCTCTCAAGTACCTTTTCTCATATATTCTCTCAAGTTGGCATCATAGTGAGTTTGGTCCAGTATATTCTCTCAAACACATTCCTCCACCTTTATCTTTTTCTTCGGCAAGCACCAGATCTAGAGTGTCTCTTTAAGTGACACAGAATTTCACCCATCACAAAGGCAAATTCTGTGTTACACGCAACTTCTTTGCTCAGCCCACCCAAGCATGTGATGTCCAACCATCGCCTTCCAGTCATGCCACCTCCATTGGTATTGTTGGCTCTCTAGTCCCTATTTCAACCCTCTTGTAAATGTAGTTTTGTGTTGTAGCTATGTGTCATCTCGAATACTAGGGGTGAACTTTATTTTGTCTTCTTTTCTCTCTTTGTATTTATGTTGCAAGATATATATCTCACTCTATAAATATATGAATCTGAAGAGAGATCTCTCAAGTACCTTTCCTAGTATGTTTCTCTCAAGTCACCCAAAAAGTTACAATGGTTTATGATGTCACCATGGGAGAAGTAAGCTATCATTACTTGTGTGTGAACCAAAGGTGTCTGCTAGAAAGTGCTACAAATTGAAGGAAGCATTTGGTACTCAAGTCAATGGTTCCAGGAGAACTAAAGAACAAAAAACTCTAAATGATGGATTGTAATTGCAAACCTTGGGTAGTTTCTTCTGAATTGGAGATTATAGACCTGACATTTCTGGCGAAGAGCTCTGCCTGAGTGGGCAACAGGCAAGCTTCACGTTTTGATGCCTTCACAATTTCTGCTACTGCCTGAAATCAACCAATTTACAGAGCATTAAATGATATTGGAACTAAGTACATATTTGAATCCTAAATCCCTTCAGACATTCATGCTAACTAAATAAGAAACAAACTGCAAAAAGAGCCATAGCTGTTTCTAAATTAAAAAAATGGTAAACATGTCAAGTTGTAAATATTTTGAAAATACTACCCCAAATCTGGATTTGCTTTTACCAGGTGACTGATGACTGACGAGGAAGAATGTAAAAAGATGGAGGAAATTGTGTGATTAGAATCCACTCAATAAGGAAATGGAAGCACAATTTTAGCTTAACATACCTTTAGGAATGGAATAGTAAGAACAGGATGTTGATGTCTACCCAGTATTTCAAGTTCCATGGACACAGAGCGCATCTGTTCAATTTCACATAATTAGACCACAAGACTTGAGCAAATAAAGTCGCTTATGTTGGAAGGTAATTATTTGTTTTGTGTATATACACTGTAATCAAATGCAAGAGTTAATGACCAAGTGAAGGCAACTATTAACCCACAATACCCTTATATATTGAGCATTATTAAGAAAATTGTTAAGGTTCCAACATAAAACCAATTGGCAATATGTGGAGTAGTCTAACATGTGTTTAAACCATACTAAATGACATGAGATAGGCGATGTGGGACTTTCAACACACCCCCTCCAACGAAGCCTGCCGGATCAGGCAAAGGGTACTTTTGACCCAACTAAAGGGCAACTTTAGACCCATGACAATAACCGGAAAGATGTTAGGTTTTGGCTCTGATACCATATTAAGGTTCCAACATAAAACCAATTGGCAATATGTGGAGTAGCCTAACATGTGTTTAAACCATACTAAATGACATGAGGTAGGCGATGTGGGACTTTCAACAAAAATCAACCCTTACATGGTGGTACCTGAACAACACTTTTTGCACATATATCCCAAAGTACTAAAGGCATCAAAATTCGAAAGAAGAATTACGATAACATAGCCATCAAATGAGGAAGATAGTTTGCTTAAAATGACAATAAGAGGACATGGTCATAACATACCGGTTCCTCAAGCAGAGGCAAGATCTTGTGAGCCACTCCAGTGTAGGAGAGTATGGATGCTAGCACATTTGGCACATGATGATTTATGTCCAAATGGCGTAATTGTCGACATATTGAATCAATCACATAGTCTGCATTTTCCAAAACTAAATGTCCAACCTACATAAATGTATACAAGATAACAGTTATTAAAAGAAAAAAAATTAGAAAATAAACAAAGATCATGACTAACCGTGGGATAGCCAGATGTTGTGGAAAGTATATGCAAGACAGAATCTGCTGCATTTCTAACTCGGTAATTTGAAGAACTAAGATTCTCCAGTAATAAATAAAGTGAAGAATGAAGAAATCCACCAGAAACAAAATCGCTTCCAAGGCACAGTTTAAAGATTCCTACTCCATCAATAATAACCTGCTCCACAGTAAGGAAGTCATTCTTGATGTCATGTCAATTTTCTTTAGAAAATTACGAAAAGGAAAGTAAATCACAATGAGTAAACAGCCATGTCAGCTTATGAAAATAATATCTTTCCTCACGCAGCATTGCAGCATCCTGGAAAAAGTAAAGGCTGAAATCTTCTTCAACTACACCATTAAGCGGCAAGTCAGCAATTCTGTGATCAAGTGGAACATTCCATACCTCAGCTGATAAATACTCATGTAAGATCCTCCCAATGCACTCAACCAAATAACTCCTTACTCCTTTATCGTTGGCCATCTTCCAGAATGATGTATGAAATGCACAATCATGTTTGTAAGACCGAACCTGAACTCCACTGTTTATAGAAGAGTTATGAAATATTCTAGAAAATTCATTAGTTGCTTGATCCGATACACCAAACATTATCTCATTTAGCATGCATGCAGCTGTGCTAGCTTGCCGCAATATCTGCCCAGAACCATTCCTGTCATACCAAGACTGCCAGCTTTCTTTATTGTATTCTTTTACACGAAGCTCAGAAACCAATTTACGAAAGTAACCAAGTAGGGTCTCAATCACATGCAACAGACGCCCTTCACTTGTATTATCTAGCAATTACAGACAAAGGTAATACAAATAAATTTGGTTAAGACACCCTAAGAGCTACTAGAAAAAGAACATTGAATTGAAAATCACCTGCCACTAAAGATAAACCCACAAGTCGGAGAATCCCTGCAAGGGGCTGGTATAACTTGAGACTACCAACATAACTAAACCAAGGGGGCATGCGAGGAAGCTCATAATTATTTTGAGCAGTTCTCACAGGTTCTTCTATACTCATTTCCTCAATAAGCCTGCATTTAGGGACTTCTGATAAACCAGAATTTAGAAGAGAGGGCACATAATTGAAGAAATTAGCTCCAGATTTCAACTCAGCAATGGAGGGAAGATATCCCAAGGTTGATGATCGATCTGTTGAAGTGAGTTTTCCCAGCGAACCAGAGAACACTGAATTATGGCTTAGACATGCAGCAAACAAATCTAGGAATTTAGCAGCTTCTACCTAATCATTTCAGGCATCAGAATAGTCCACGAATGAAAATGTGAAAAAGGGATCACTTTTACTAAGGAAAAAAAATATATATATATATATATATATATATGTGTGTGTGTGTGTGTGTGTGTGTGTAAAGGAGATGTAATCTATGTTTTCCTACAAGATCATGAGAAGCAACACTTAATTGCACAGAGCATAGGCATGCAGGATTAAACAATGAACAGGTGACTTTATATGATTAACATATCTTCCCTAGATTGAATATGGAAAACATTCCCAAAAGATCACCTAAAGTATTCCAAGAGATGATAATAAGGAGACATATTATAGATATTGATTCTAACCCTCTAGCTAAAGCTTACTAAGCTTTAAACTTGTCATAATTAAATACACTAGACAAAAATAACCTAAAAATATAATACTGGCTTGCAATAGTATTCAGAATTAAGAATCTCTAATCCTAATTAAATACGGAAGCAAGTAATGAAGTATAATAAAATTATAAACCACTCCTAAGAGATATAATATACTAAATTATTCTAAAAGAAAAAAGATGATTTATGAGATATTTCAAGATATTCTAGCAATAACAATCATGGTTCTCTGTATAATATAGATGCCTTGTCAGATGCAATAGGTATTACCTTTAAACTAAGAATATTTTGAACGTACACAATTACACCTAGTTAGTTAGTTGGGAAGTTTACTATAGACCCAAAAAAAGGAGGTTTGAATCTTCGTAATTTGGAATCTAAAAATTTTGCTTTGGCATCTACCTGGCTTTTCCTAGACTTTGTCATCTCTCTTTAACAATGACCCTGTTGTTCAGTTTTATTCTTTAACTCAACTGTTTCCTAGGATTTTTCACATTTTAGAAAGCGATAGGGAATTTTCTGAATTTCAGTCACATAGCTGTTGGGTTCAATCGGTCTCTCAGCTAATCCCAGATAAGAGCTTTAGGTCCCTACAACTGTAAACTTCAGGTTTATTTTCCTGGAAACCATACTATTAATTTCTATTGTCAGCTCCAACTAATGATTCCTTTCCTCTGGATAGGTGCATTCCAAAAGCACATGCTCCTTCCAAGGTCAAACCCTTTAGACTATGGACCCTTGGTAGGATTAATACAAACTCTTTATTTCAATTTAGAATAACCCTAACTGCTTTGTATCTTGATGTGGGCGTTGGATACATTAGTATTTGGCAGTGCCCAATAGAAGTTCCCAATGTTTTAATTTCAGAGGACTTGGCTATAGCAGATACAACAAAAAGCTTTGGCAGCATTCTCAGGCTGCAGTTCTTTGTTGTATTTGGATGGAAAGAAGTGTGAGAATCTTCGCCGGATGTTAATTTCCTATTGAATTCATTTGGGAGAGTAGATTTTCTAGCTTCTTCATGGTCTTCTACATATTGTCTTTTGGGAGGGATGTCCTTGTTAGACCTCCAGATAGATTGTTCTATATCGTGTTCTACATGTTGTGCTGCATGTTCTTGATTTCAGTTTTCTTTTATCAATTTACTTTTGGCAGTGCTAGTTTTAGTCCTTGCAGCTTTATCCTCCTTTAGTATTTTTTTTTATCTAAAAAAATACTTTCATTATCAAAGAAAAAAAAAACTACAGAATAGAATATACACCAATTTGTATCTCGTATGATTAATTAGTTTCTTCCATTATGCCATTCAACTATAACCATATCTAATGAAACAGAACAAATCATTATTGTAATTTGTAACACAGCAGAAATCATAACAGATGTGTAGAAAGAATGAGTTATAGAAGCACGTACAGGGGACTGAAGGTGATCCACTAATAGACGTGGACCAGAATAAAATATTATTGTTAGTAATTGCTGAGCATGTATCCCAGCATGTGACTCCTCATGACCAAGCACTACTCTGGGAAGCTTTTCAAGGTGCCTGAACTTGAAAGAGGAAATATTTCTGATTAGGAAAAAAAAAAAAAACTAAGGGGAAAACCATCCTCAACGAAGAATGAGAGTCCCAACTAAAAGATGAACCTGATAAAAATCTCAGTAGCATTTTGTTTTATAACATGTTTCAAATTTTGTGAGAACAAACACTCAAGGAAATCCTGTGCAGTTGAAGACACGTCATTGGATACATCAACGACTAAGGCACATAAGCACTCCTGAATCATTAGTAAATGAATTAAAGTCAAAAAAAAAATTTACAAGAGAAGATTTAATGATAGAAGATAAATATCATCTAAAAACTAAATAAAATAGAAAAGAAAAACATTAAAAAATGAAATATTCTATAAAAGGAAAAAAAAATAACAAAGTAACAAAGTTTGACAGTTTAATTTTCAGGCAGGACAGTATACAAAATTGTACAGCGTCAATTAACTAGTAATCTTCTCAATTATGACTATTAAAGTAGTTATCATAAAGTTAACAAATTTAGCATATGTGACAGTATGTAATTGGATGACTATGTAAAAAACATTTCACGATCAATGCATTCAAATTAAATTCTTTCGTAAGTAAGCCCATACATATAAAATGACAACTTTCCGCTAAATTATTTAACTTTTTAGAGAATTTAAAAAATAAGAATAAGATCTAATTCTTTTGGGACATGTCACATGTCACATCTTAATCTGGTATGGAAAATTAAGTCATAACCCAATAAAAAAAGCTTAACTTGTGATCAATGGGCTTGTATAGAATAATCAGTGATAAAAAAGGGGTAAAAGAAAATATAATGAACTTAAAGAAATCTTAATAAAAGCACGTAAACAAATTTAAACATGCATTCCCCCATGGCATTGGACAAGAAAAATGCAACTAAAGGCAATAAATAAACTCCTCAGCACAATGTAAGCCAACTTCATCCACTTGGCCTTTGGCGAACAAACTATTTGTTGTTTATTGGACTTTGCATATAAGGAGGTCATACCCATTATCAAAGACAAAAGAGCTCTACACAACAGTACTCATTTTGTTGGTGTTTTGACTGGAGCATAATGTCAATGCTTTAAATGATATATGCAGTCATTAACCAACCAACTGGGACACAGATCCTGGTTTTTGACCTATTTATGGTAATGGACAAAATATAACATTTTTTAATTGGTTTCAAAAAGGGAACGGGGTACTGAAAACTCACTAGGATCTAACTTAGAATTGCTAAAAAGTTCTTGCTAAGGATTAGTTGGATTGGAACTAAGCTATAAATCCATCAGCAATCTTATATTATATAAAATTGTATCGTCAACCACAATAAATCATACCAATGGTTATGGCACAAACCTAACATTATTCCCAGTTAACCAGTTCAGAACTCACCAAAAGCATCAGTCTACTCTCCCCCAGTGTGTAGAAGCACTCTGACAACAGTCCTTTTATGGCATCAACAAGTCCCTTTCTCAACTTTTGTGAAGGGTGAATACAGATCTGAAATTCAATGATTTTACTGATCAAATAAAAAATTACATCATATATTAAAATATACACTTGGCACTATAGTTCCAAACATCCAAAGACGGCAAAAAAAGGCAGGGAAACAACATCATGAAACATACTTGTGGAAATGTTGCACTCAACAGCTTATTTACATGTTCTGATGTCCTCTGCATCCAACCTTTTGTTCGGTTCACATGCAAAGACATGTTCTCTTTGTCAGGATTAGTATTCCCTGTTTCTTGGAGTTGAGCTTGGGAATAAGAGATTATTTCTGATTCAACACCTATATCTTCTGTAGCTTCAGTATTAACATAATTTTTAACTTGCAAGTGACGAAGCTCCTCCATAAGGGAAAGTGTTGAAGTACACTCATTTGAATCAAAGTCTGAAGATGCTTCAATATCCAGGGCAGGTGCACTAGCATCATCCTGGAGGACTATCATGAGAAACTCTGCAAACCCTCTGAGCGCTTGGTCAATAGATTCAACATTCCCAGCAGCCCCACTTATCATTGTTTTTGCACTGTGCAAAACTTTAGCTAACTGACTAACAGTGCCAGGTAAAAAGAAGGCTAATGCATCTGCAGAACCAACCTATAAAAATAAAACAAGCACAACCAATTGAATCAATTCCATATTTACATCTACTTAAAAAGAATTTAAATATATGCATATTTAAACTATTTTCAGAAAGGGAGGACAAAGTCTCTCGCTTGGGGTATTTCAAGATTTTCACTCTCTCAATTTCCACTCCATAACCAAAATCCAGGAGTGCATTTTATGATGTGCAGGAAAATAGAACAACTTCAGAGGATCCCAAAGATGCAATAAAAGGTACACCTATATGATGGAATCTGTTAGTTCAGTCATAGTCTTCATTGTAGTAGTGGGATAGAAAAATCTTTTTACACCTTCGGTTCTCTTCTTATGGCTTCTTTATAGAAAAGTCCAATCAAGTATGAAGGAAGATGACTATTTTATTTCCCTGATAAACTTCTTTGTATTTTCTTCCCTTTTTTATTTTTTATGAGGATATTTTAACTCCCTTTATTCTCATGCATCGACTGTTAATCTCTATAAATATTAATCTTCCTTTGCAAAAATGAATAAATAAATCTTACAGCTTATTCAAAAAGCATAATTTATTTCATACCTTAGCAACAAGCACCCGCAGTGTTTTGAATGCTTCAATACGAAGCCTTGCAGAACCTGTTTGTCCCCTAGCAGCCTCTGTATCTGCAGTCTTTTCAAATTGGTATTATAAATTTAATAAAATGTAGAAACTAAATTTCAGATAAGATGGATGGAAATTTTCCATTTAGTTCCCTTTAAAAAAGAAAGATCTGTCTTGATTACTTGAAGAAGTTGCCTTCTATAATAGAATGAGCTTTAAAACGAATTGGTTATTATGTTATAAAATGTGATTAAGAACCAAATCGTCCCCCACCCAAAAAATAAATTAAAAACATAACTGAATTGAAATTTCACCAATAACAAAAATCAACATACTTTAAGAAGAAGCGATAGCCAGTGTCCAATAGCAGCTGATGCAAATTGAGACTGGAGAAATGCAAGTAGACATTCTTCTGATTCCAAACCATTCTTGAAAGTTTTATGAAGTCTATCATTATCAACGTCTTCCAAAAGTGCCGGCAAACCAGAAATTTGTTTACACAAGCAAGACATATCAGAACAGGAATATAAACTCAAAAGCAAGGCCTTGACACACAACAAAATTCCTTCACGAAACTCCTCTGAAGCCTCGGAGGGTGACAACATGGCCCCATATGTTAACTTTTTTAGTAGCACAACCATCTGTGAAAGAATATCACCATTTAGTCCCGTTTGTTATAATCTCGTACCAAACAATTTAGTTAAGAGTTTAGACAGCTATCCATGCCTAATAAGGGATATGTACTCGATAACGAATGAGGCAAACAATAACAAAATATCTAAATTTGTTCCATGTTTTCCACTACAAAAATATTTAGAGGGTGTCCATCTTCTATTTTGACCCTAATGGCTGGAGCATAATGCAATGCCGCTTCAGGTTCAATTGTTAAAATATACATTAATCTTCTGTTTCTGTGCATCCAGGCCAATATCCCCAAATCCGAACGTCCTTAGATTCCTTCTGTTCTTTATTTGTTTCTTTTGTTCACCATCCTTCCCTAATGATGAGAGTAGCATAGCTCTCAATTCACAACACATCCAACACACTCAACAGTGGCAGTTGGATTTTACTCAACCAGTAAACGAGGCAAATAAAATCCCAATGTAATAACTCATAATTTGCATAGAATCAATCCAGACAAAATGTCAAAGGCATATATCAATCAGCACACACACACCTGATCCACAGAATTCAAACGGCACTTGCTCAGAAGCTCCTCCAAACATTTAATCACGCCTTCAGCAACGCCATCACTCACTTCAACTGGTGTTTTCAAAACACCAGGCATGTTACAATTTTCCCGAGAATCGATTTTCTGCGTAGACCTACACTGAATCGCTGCATCCAGGAGTAGAAGTAACGGAAAGAGGGTGTAGCTGGAACAATACATGAGGGAAAAAAATATAGGTGAATGAAGTGGTCTGAATCAGATAAATAAAAAATTTTAAAATAGGGTTTATGGAGAATGAAGAGTTTGTGAAGAGGCTGCTTACTCGAAGAAGGGTTGTAAAGTAGAGGGAGAAGAATTGCGAAGGAAAGAAAGGAGTTGGGGAATTACGGTGAGGGAACAATGCTTCTGATTATGAATGTGAGGGTTTTGCAAAAGGTCGAGAAGTTGCAACGAGTATGATTTCAAGCGTTGGAAGGTGCTGCTTCTGAGTTGCTCAGTTTCCATTTCTTCTTCTTCTCCTTCTTCTCCTTCTTGGCTGAGTTTGTCCATATCGTTGTTGAGACGCGAAGGAAGTGCGCGGTTAAGCGATTGAGTTCAACGGATGCTAAGAACGTGTTTGGTTATTTGCCAATGAAAGCAAACGCTATCACTCTTGTTGAGTAGCTCTTTCTCGTTTTCGTTTCTGCACGAAACAAAGTAACGTGCTTTTTGAAAGGTCTAATCTGGGTAGAATTGCCTAGAATTCCGAATCGATGATAGAGGTCGCTCGATGGGTGAGTTTTAAAAAATGCTTTATCGAATTTTTTTTTTTCACTTTTAACTTTTTTATTTTACCCTTTAAATCAAATTAAGAAAATATCCAAGACTTGAAAATTAATAAATTTAACAATAATATTTAATTTATTTTCATCTTTAAATGTAATGGAGGAGTGAATTCACGATCAAGTCAGATTCATGGATTGGATTAGTCCTCAAATTCAATTGTTCTATTTGAGATGTAGTTAATTAATCCCTTAATTATATTTTCATTGTCGTTGATATTGTATTTTCTTTTGTTCGGTTAATTTTATGAAAGAAAGTAATTATCCCCTTAAACCTTACATGTTTTGTAATTAGACACTCTAAGTTTTAGTTTTTCCTAATTGATCTTTAAACTTATCTTATTTACAAAGAGACGGATTGAAATTTAATTTTATTCCTAGTTAACTTAGCTTTAGCGTTTTCATAAACTGAGATAAAAAGAATTAATTTTGTTACAATTAATCCTCAAAACTCAATCTTTTTTATAATATTTTTAATATGGTAGATTTAAATCACTTACAAAACGTCAATAATTCATTAAAAGAGTTCTTTTTATTATAATTCAATTTTGATAGATTAATATAGAATAAAAATAATAATTTCAAAATAAAGAAAATAACAGAAAAAACAATTATAATTATTTGACTTTTACAAATAAATATTAATTAAAAGGACTAGAATATGCAACAGCATTACTTAACTGTGCATGAAGAAAGACATGGGATTAGTGAAGGTATGAAACGTTAATTTATGTGGAACCTGTTTATCACTATATATATAAACATTGAATAAATTTAAAAGTAATCAAGAAAATAAAAATTATGTAAAATAAATTAGGGACCATGGTTGCTGTTATGTCAACTTCATTCTAAAAGAAAAAATTAACCATGCAATGCAATAGAATAATCACCGACCGGTATACCACATTAGAATTCACAAAAACTTGGATTGGGCAGAATAAGATTTGATGTTGGATTATCACAGACAACAAACATAATTAGAATGCAATGCAATAGGATTATCACCTACAGTTATGAATCAAAATAAGCTTGGTTACTACTACATCACACTGAAAACATATATATACACAACCATACATCATGGTCAAACACTGTATGATCCATCATCTCCCCCTCTACAAAAGGAGTCCTGCACTGTCCCTACCAGTATCAACACTCTTCCCAAAGCTAATGATCTTCAAACCATAAACACCCTAATTCGTATCCTCAAATGTCAGTTATCACTGTCCTCGTATATCTCAGCTTATTACAAGCAAATACTAGTGTACAAATCCATCTTGTATTCACAAGGTTTCTGCTAGCTTCTTTCAATCGTGTTTACAGGCACTGCCCAAGAAAATCTTTTTTACCCTATTCCTGCACAGCACAATAATGAGCCATCAAACTATCTTGTCAGTGAAAACATGACCAAGGCCAAGAAATTAGATGCTGGTCCTGGTTAGATCAACTTTTCAATAAACACTTAGGCATAACTTAGAGTATAGAACTTCTATTATTTAGTTTCTCCAAAACCTTACGCAAAAGTTAAATTTTATATAACTTACAAAAAAAAAACTCAATCCATTATACCTTCTTATCTTTTTTCTCCTTCTAGTACTTATTGAAAAGTTTATCCAAAGAGGAGCTAAGTTCACAAAAATATAACAATAACAACTGGGGAACCACAACCTACCATTTTTTTTTTCTTTTTATCATCTAAACTTGGGGAGGTGAATCAGGCTCTGAACCACAAAGGGATGCATATGACATCGTATCTTCCTTGGATATAGCCACAAAGTTCAGAGGAGCAGTAGACAATCTTCTCATTTCCTTAAAATATCCATTCTGACGGCCAGAGTAGGACCGCGGTGTCAGTAGTTCAGATGTTGTTCCACTACTTAGGGAGTTCCGGCGGGGTGTGGGAGGCATAGATCCATTGCCATTCGCTCGGTAACTATTTGTCTTTCTAAAACTGTTATTCTTTCTTGGACTAGGTTTAGAACCATACATGGCTTCCTTTTGATTTAGGAGTAGATCTTGCATCTTCTTATGGTCCTGCAAGAGTCAACAAATCACGCCAATTATCTATTAATTGTAGTGAAGCATGTAGCAGTATCTCTCAGAACATTAAATTTAAAAAGAAAAACATCCTGTTGATTTTTAGATTCAAAAAGATTAATTTGTGGAGAAACAACAAACTATTGGCCAATGAGTACAGACAAGTAATTTTACCCTGTGTCGTCTCTTCTCTTCCTCTTTCTGTTGTCTGGCCAATTTATAATCGTCCAATATTGAAACCAACCGTACCTACACATAGTATTGACAATCAAATTTATCTACTTTAAAAGGCTTGAAGATAGAAAACACAACCAGAATAGTTACAGTTCTTTAAAGCTCACCCCATCATATAGAAAATGAGTCTTTTTTTCATCTTCCCAGGCTAGTGTTTTGTTTATAAGATTGTCGACCATAGCTGGAAAGATAACATAGTGTATTAGAGGGAGTTCAAATGGCACCGTAAAATAACACATATGCGTGCCCGGAAGGAATACCTGGAATTTTGCTTACAGTTATTCTAGCCCGTTCTGCTCGTTTAAGATTAATGTGACCACCGCGCCCAGTACTGTACCGATTGTCATCCTGAAATTCTTTGTTACTTCAGAAAACAAACTAAATGATATAACAGCAACAATTTTCATAAATGAAATTAAAAGTAATAGCACTTGTTTGAACTGCAAGCCGTGAACTGTCTAATGAAAAGGGATAAATTGATCTCGTCCCTGGCGGTATCCTAATTAGTGAGAGCAGTACTATTATAGTTTTCTGATAAAGTATGCCATCACAAATTGCCACATCAGATTAATAGAGTTTGAACAAGATACACAACAAAAATAGACCTGTTATATTTACTAATCACATAGATACATTTAGAAAACTTGAGGTTACAATAAAATTGTAATTTAAGTGTCTTAATATATCTTGTTTCACTTTTCTAAACTTCTGTTTCATCAACTTTCTCTTCAGTTCATCTGAAGTGGCCTTTTTTATGTAGTGTACACGAAGTGATTTTGATTAATCCATGCAAGAATACGTCTTTTCTAATAAAAAAATACAAGGTATATTCAATAATCCGTCAACAACAACAAAAAAAGGTCACATTTGGGCAGACACAAGATACAAATTGTAAACTATGATTTCTCACTTACTTGATTGTATTCATCGAGCCAATTTTCCTCTTCACATGCAGAAAGCCACTTATCAATCCTATCTGTTACTTCTTTTCTGCTCAAAGCTTCATCTTTTGCCTTAATTATCTGTGCTTCAATGTTTGCTAATAGCTCAGAAGGATCCACCAGGCCTATACAAAAAAGAGTACAATATAATAATATCAGATAATTTCCAGCCAAACCTTAAAAAGGATTTTTACAAAAGTGACTAAGTATGTGTTTGGTTCAACTTATTTTAGAGAAGCAATCCTATATTTTGTTAGCTCCCTAAGAGAGCTTTTGAGAAAAACAAAAAAGCATTTCCAGAAAAAGTTGTTCTCAAACACATACTAAGAGTAGGTTATAGGCAAACAATCTACAAATGCACTAGAACAGACCAGAATCTATTAATGCACTAGCTTTCTCAGCAGCAGTACTTGTATCTGGTTCAATATGAGTCAATCTACATATTTCCTCCAACTCTGACCTCTTCTTAAAAACAAGTTCTTTCATTCTGCTAGCTTTTAATTTGGCAAGCCTGTCCACTTCGGCTGAAGCCTGCAAATAAGACTCTTCAGTTTAGGAGCTCCATCTCCAATGAATAAATTGCATAGAATGAAATAAAAAATAAAAATAAATTAAGGGTGAGGAAACAGATTGAAACTTTCATACCTTCTCTATCATCTCTGTTGAAAGAACACCTCGTTCAGTGATTTCTGATTCTGAGGTTCCAACAATAGAAGTAATCCTCAAAAAGCAGTTTCTCTCTTCTTTTGATGAGTCCATCAAATTCCAAAGTTCAAATAGTTTAGTTACAACATCCTTCAGCTGCATTTTTTACAAGAGTATACTAGAAGTCTCAGGCCAGAGTAAAGAAAGGGAAGAAATTACAAGAACCAATAAACTAAAAGCAATTAAGTATGGATCAGATACATTACCTTCTGAATTCTAGTTTTCCTTTCTAATTTTAACTTTAGAATGGTCTGCTCTAGACCTTCCAATGTGCTATTGCTAATATTAGTCGATTGTTCCACTTGAGTCCCATGCAAACTTGGATGAACATCACCCACGGTCTGGCCAAAATCCAACCCAAGCACACTACAAAGAGAATGCACCTCATTCACGCATTGCAAGACCTTTTGAAGACGGTCAGACTGAAAAGAGCAGGCATAGAAAATGAAAAAATGAGTTATGAAGGAGGATCAATGCAGTAATTGATATCATGCGTCCTGAATATCTGAAACCCACTTATAAGTAGATTTTCCTTGCTCCCATAGATTCCATCATGCATAGTATAAGAGAGGCATTTAAAATAAGACAAAAGGGGTAAAGAAAGCATTTTAATTTCCATCTGTACTACGTTTTTTAGAAGAAATAAATAAAGGGCAGGGTCCAAGCTCGTATAAGAAAAAAATATTAAAAGAATTGATCATTCACAACACCAAAGGTTTATGACAGTTCAAAGATCAGTTTATATGAAAGATCAAGATTAATTTATATCATAATACAAACCTTTTCCTTTTGAAGAGTTCGGAGATGTGTTTGATATTCATTAAGTCTTCTAAGGGACAAGTCCTGTTCATCCTCAACTGTTGTGATGCTCAAAGAATTATTGACAGAATGGAATCCAAAAATCTCCCCACTAATTTTTTCTAATTGACCCTTTACATCATCAAACTGCTTCAACCTTTCATCTTTTTTCTTCTTAAGTTCTTCAACTAATGGTGTGATGGATGCAAGTTTCTCCTTCAGGGAAGAAGATCTCTTCTCTGTCTTAATCTACAAATTAACAGATAAAAGTATCAGAAAGTCATATCATGCAATCCTCTCAACGATCAGAAAACTAATTCCCAGTTTTATCTTTCTAGCATGCTCATATGTCCACTTAATCCTCAAATAGGTAGATTAAAGAAACTCAAACCATGTAAATAAAACAGATACCTCCTTCATCAACACATATGAAGTCCATGAAAACATTCCACACATATTAGTCAAACCAGGACTATGCTTTGCACATATTTCATGAGGACAGTAAAACGGCACTACTATCCTACATTTACATTCACAAATTCAGACAGTCCTCCAGCAACCTTAGCTCTTAAGATTTACAGTTTGCAGTAGCATCATTTATGTCCCATTTTTTCCTTTGGCACGTCGGATTGAGGGTGCAGGAACATAAGCAGAGGTGTAGGAGACATAGTGGAGGATTGAAGCTCCAATAACAACATCACACATTTACACTCTCATCTTATCTTGCAGACTCAAACTGGTGCATATTGAGTCACAAACACCTTTACAATTTTGAATTCATTGATAATTTTACTTTTTCTTTATATCCAGACAGCAAATTACAAGAATTTCAGTTAAGAAAATCAACTTTTCAACAAAAGGAAATTGCTTTACCGGCGAATGAATATCATGTTCGCCAAGTGAAGCCATTAGTGTCGCAAGCTCCGCTTCCTTAGCCGCAACTGTTTGATGAAAGCGTGCTTTGGTGTTAGCAGCCTCATCAACCTTTCTCCTGTATACTTCTAAGCATTCCCTCTCCAGTTCCATCAACATTCGATCTTTATCCACCTCGCTCTCCCCAATGTCGTTCCATATTTGCTGCACACATAACAGGATCTGTCAATCTAAGAAAACAAACTGTAGATGAAAAAGAAGTAAAAATGAAAACAACAAACAGTTCGGTAAATCAACAAACTATAAAACACTACATCAAGTATAAGTCCACAGTAGTGACAGAAAATTAACAAATAAAGAATAAAGTAAAAATGAAAACAACAAACAAATTGGTAATAACTTCCTAGACACATTAACACATTTCAACAAAACTATAAACACAACACCAAGCCTAAATCTGGTCACCGAATCAGAAACCGGTTCTATGAGCACGTGATATTTCACAAAAGCGAAAAAGATTAAAGAAACAGTGAACTGTAGTAAATAGACGGATTAATAAAGACCAAGTCAACCCAAAACCACGTAACCACTACTGAACTGGTAACTTCTGAAATGCATCAAGAATCCCAACCCAATGAAATTTAAAAACATGCGGTAAAAAATAACCTTCAAAATTTAGACTAAAAACAACGAAAATTTAAAAAGCTGAAAACGAGACCTTTTCAACTCAGGTAATCAATCTCATGAAGAAAGATAAAGCCCCTTTCCCCCACAATAAAATAACCTACAGAGACCCTATCAGTGCTTTCCCTTTTGACACGGTAAAACAGACAAAAAGTGGACCTGAGGAGAAATAAGACATCATTGGGTAGACAATAGCCAAGAAGAAGAAGAAGAAGAAGGAAAAAAAAAAAAGGAAAAGAGTGGCCATATCATGAGCAAATAATCACACCAGACTCTTCATTACGAAAAAAAGCACCCCGTCTAATTTTTTGCACCAACAAAATCCTCAAAACCCTGAATTCCCAGACACTTAAGAAGAAAGAGAAAGACCTCGAGTTCTCTGAGCAAAGCAGTGCAAGTAGTACTTGTGCGGACACTGGTGCCATGTACCCCAATGGCCAGCATTGTTCCCAAAATCTGAGACCCTCTTTCACTCTCTCACAAGGTAGTGCTAATTTGAGAGTTACTAAGTTAGGCAGTACAAGAAGAAAGACTAAGAAGAAGGGAGGAGGGTCAAAGCAGAAAGCAAGAAACTTTCATCTCATGTCAAAGACCAAGAGACAGAAGGTGTCTCCATAGCTTGAAACAACCTTAGCTCCCTCAGATCTAAAGCTGAAACCTTTGGTTCTTCTTTCTGTCTCTCTCTTTCAACAAGTTGCTTTGGCAGGCACAAGGAAAAAAATTGTGAATAGAGAAATGACAGGATCTGTAAAGAGGGTGTGTGTTGGAGTAAGGTAAAGTGTTCAGAAGGAGAAAATGGAAATGATTGCCATTATTATTGCAGAAGAGGGAAAGGAAAATAAATGAAGAGGAAAGAGAAAAAGGGTTAAGCAAAAGCGAGGGCAAAGAACAAAGAAGGAGGATAATGCTTTTTTTAGGGTTTGGTTGTTAGATGCTCAAATGCGCAAACATGTAGCAGAAAACACAAGAGCAGGGGTTGAAATGGATCTGTATTCCATTCTGTGTATGTGTATGCATACACTCTCTCTCATGTGTTCTCACATTCGCCAATGATTTGTACAGGTTAAAACTCTACTCAAAACCATAAACATGGCTTCTTATTTTATTTTTAGCATGAATATAGAAACCCATGCGAATTTAGTTTTTTAGAAAATAAAATTCTTATTTTATTTCTGTGCAATTAAATTTTCTGGAACCTTGTATGATTAAGTAATAGTTGCCAATAAATTGTATTAGTAAAAAATTAATTGACATTCAATTATATAAATCAATTTATTACCAAATCAATGCATAAAAAAATTAATTATGATATTTTCTTACACATTTAAAACTACGTAAATCAACTACAAAAATATTAATGTAATAAAAGAATATACTTTTTTACTAAATAGTTAAGAAAGTAATAAAGATAAATTGTTTTTTATTTATGTATATATAATAAATTATATATTAAAAATTATAATAATGATAACAATTAAAAAGTTGATTTCGATAATTTTATAATAATAAAAAATATAATAATAATATTATGTTAAAAATATAAGATGAATAAAAATAGAAAAAAAGACACATTTATTAATTTTTCGTTTTTTAGATTTTAAAATTTTAAAGGTTATTTTAACAAAATAATAATCAAATATGTCTTTTATTTTTTTAAAATAAAAAACTGAAATTTAAAAAAATCAACAAACAAGTTTTAAGATTTCCAAAATCACTACTCTCTTCTTTTTTAAAATAAGTATATAAATAATTTTCAAATTATATAATTACTTAATTTTTATTTACTCAGTTATTATTTATTAAAATAAAAAAATCACTTATTCTTTAAATAAATAATTATATTTTTAATTATATTACATTATATATATATATAATGTGTTTTTTCTCCCAAAATATGTTATATTAATTTTTAGAAAAACATTAGTATTTTATAAAAAATTTACAAAAATATTTGGAGAAATATTTAGAAATAAGATATTTATATATTCCATCTTAAAGAAAAATCATGTAATAACGTATCTTAATTGTCACTTCATAAATTTTATGCAGGTAGATATTTACAAATAGAGTTAAATTTTGTTGGTTTAGAGGAATTAATTGATATAAAAATTAATATAATATATTTTTGTAACAGCAGGATAGAATCTTGATACTTGTTTTTCATACTCCATATGAGGCGCGTGATTAACACTCTCTAATAAAACAAGGATGTTACCTTTCGGTGTCAGTGAAAGCGAGTGGGAATTGTTTGGGTTGGATTTGACTGTGACCCAAAGAGCTGTTTTGACGTTGAAGTGTTTGAGCCCAGATAATGCAAGCAAATTTATGTAATAAATATAAAATTTTAAAAAAAATTGCATACCCATTTATCCGTTGCACAAGTCTTCTTTCTTTTCATTTTGTTGAAGTAAAATAATTTTATGAAATAGAAAATGATAAAAGGAAATAACGATTGAGTTGTTGTGTATGTCGCGATCGTATGACAATTTGAAAAAGGAGTTTAGAATATGAATTCCGAGTTTGGTTAAGCGTCTATTCTCTCTCCGTCAAACTCTCTTAAATGAAAGTTGTAAGCTAAACTTCACATTGGAGTAGACCAACGCCAAACACAACTTCCACCACCATTCCAATTCTCAACTTACAATTATACACTTTCCATGTGTATTTTCGTTTGGTCTCTAAACTAAATTTATGTAACATGTGTTATAATGGTTCATCTTTTTTTCCTCTAAAATCAACATCGTATTAAAATAATTTGGATGTAATTTATGTCCCATGTTTAGAATTTTTAAGCAAAGATAGCAAGGGATACATGTTCTTACCAAAATTATAATAATAAATAAATTTAATTAAGGTTAGTGAATAAATTTGAATAAGTTTGGAATATAATGAAAGTGTGCATTTATGAATGTGTATAATTAATTAAAACAAAATTTAAGGAAAGTACAAGGCACACAAGTACATTGTAATGAGCAAAATAACATATTCAAATAATGATATGTATTAAAATCTTTTATAATAAATAGTATATAATCATTGTTTCTCATTGGATATTTTATTTTGCTTAACTGCAAACTTTGTCTTAATTTATTACTTTTTGGTCATTACAAAAATTAATTTTTTTGTTTTAATGCTAATCAAAAGTTAGACAACACAAAGTTCTAAACTTTTTTTCCACCTTATGATTGATTGAATCGACTGTCAACTAACAATGTAACAGTGACAATAATATTTGAGTGATTGATCATGAAATTTAAGATTGTATAGAATAATAATTTATAATTCTTTTGGTAAATCATGCTCTTACTTGTTAATCTTTCATTTGTTTATAATAATACTAATTAAGTGATTAAAAATTAGAAGCAACTATTCAATTAGACTCCTAAAAATCAAAATTATAACAAGTGATTAAAAAAATTGTTGTATAACCTAAAAAGATTTTAAGGATTTGTAGGAGGGTAACGGCACTCAATATTTTTAAATTACGTCTATATTTAAAATTTTGTTTCCTCTAATATTTCTTTATATAGTTAAATTTAATAATTTAATCTAAATAAAATATTATATACATAGTCCACTTAAATTTGTTTATAAAAATCTAAATAAAAAATTTAATATTTGTTTATTGGTATTATCTTTTTTTATTAATATATTATATATATTTTAGAAAGGTGCAATTAATATAACGTATTTTTTTATTATATGACATTTTTTTATATATTTTTTAATAATTTATAATATGAAATGATTTAAATATTTGTGAGACTATTTCAATTATTATAAATTAGTTTTATATTAAAATTTTATTATGATATTAGATTTGAAATTTAATTTTATGTTAAAATAATATTATAATTAATATTTATCTTATTTTTAATTATTGTTAGAGTTACCTTTTATTATAAATTAAAAATATTTTTTTCTTTAATTCGGCATACTTTATTAAATAACACATTAAAAGTTACACAACATTATCATATGTGCCATGCATTATTAAACTACAGAAGTTAGAACCTTAATATTTCCCCTTCTTAATCTCCCTGTTCTCGGTCGTAAAGTTGACTGAGACCTACAAACAAGTAGGGTTGATAAAGAACTTATAGGGTTTCAATTGTGGACACTCGTAGCATTTTCTATCTTCCAAACAAGTGTTGGATCGATGCACAATAGATGAATTTCATAGAATTAAAAAATGATAAACCCCAAATACTTCACAATACAACGAAGGAAGCTATGGTTGATGTGTGATGCATAGCCATAACAGACCAAAATAATGGTTATCATAATTAATTCATATTTGTGTACATTACCAAAGCTATGATGATTGGGTTGGTTAGATTAGGTCTAACACAACCATAATTGATTCTTGAATAATAATGAATTTGAGTTTATATTGTATATGCAATTGAATGGTGTTAAGTAGCAAAAGGTTGGAGGCAAAGGATAAGAATGCAACGCAAGACAAGAGAGCCATAGCTGGCTCCCAATTACATGGACCCCTCACTCAAACAACATCCCACTCTTCATTTTATTTGTTTGTCCCCACCCGATCAATCAATCATTCTAAGTTCCAACATTTCCTACTGCTGTAATTTATTATGTGCAATCTCTGCTTTTAACTCCTTTACACATTTATTCTCACTTTTTCTTAGATCAATATCAAGCTCAAGAATATCTCACCTTCAAATCCATGTGATTCATGTGCTACTTTCCAGGAAATTTACCCCCAACACAATCCTTTGAGTCCTCTGGTGCCGGGGATAAGAATTTTGGTTTGAGACATTTTTTCTATTCCTTAGTATTCTGAAAAGATAAGACATAACATGTCATTGAATTAATAATATTGTTAACATTAATAAAACATAAATTCAATCTATATAAAAATTAATATTATTTTTAATTTCAAATTTTAAGACATTATATATTACTCAATTTTTTTATATTTTTATTCAGTTGAAACTTAGATTAACCAAATTTTGCATCAATTATTTATACTAATTTATTATGCTCTCATCAATAAATGGAAAATGTGTGTATAACCAGAAATGATAGATGATGTACTACCTAAACAGGAATGAATAATTAAAAATTTCAAAGGAGGTTTGCGTAATCTTTGACTTTCTATAACTAAGGTATTCTTTTTCTAACTTGCTATTTTTCAAGCTTATAATATACACTTTCTGATTATAATACTCGTACACTATATATCAAAAGTATATACATATGTATATTAAAATTAACTAATTATTATCAATTCAATTGTAATTAAAAGCTCATAAACGAATATATTATAACTTTTTTAAGATTTAATGTTTAATTTCTCAAAATTTTTGAATTACAATTTTAATGTCACTAGATAAATAATGAAGGCAGGGTTGTGGTTTGGAAAAGAACAAGCATCAACTTCGGAGGTTGAAAGTATTTAATGAGTGATTAAGTATAGT